GGAATTCAAACGTTGCGTTAACCCCGAAGTCCGCACATTTATAAATGAACAAAAACCTGACAGTTTCATTGCAGCGGCCCGTTTGGCAGACGATTTCGCGTTGACTCACAAGACCACATTTGAAAAGAAGTCACAACCAAATAATTTTGACAACAGACACACACCGGCCAGAAAATATCCGCACGATAACCGGGGAAAATATGACCCCAGAGCATCACGCGACACGACTAATCTAAGTTGGCGACGACCGCCACAAAATTTCCAGCCGAATAAAACGTCGGAATTTCCGAACAAACGAAATAATTTTCCTTTCAGTACCATCACTTGTGGCTATTGTAAGCGTAAAGGACACACGATGTCAGATTGCTACAGAAATCCACAAAATCAAACAAAACCAACCGGCATTGTTTCAACACCGGATAACAACACAACATCTGTTTTTGATAGTAATAATGCTAGTGATACTCAAGAGGATTTGATAGAGGTCAAAGCCAATGCTGACCCTATAATGAAAGTATTTGAACCATTTGTAAATGCGGCTAGTGTTTCACTTTTGAACAATCCAACACAACGTATTCCAGTTCAAGTATTACGCGATACTGGAGCGTCTCAATCTTTAATACTGACAAACACATTGCCATTTTCTGCGGAATCATATTCCGGAAACAATGTTTTGATAAAAGGAGTTCACTCTAGCGATTATAGTTCAGTTCCTTTGCACAACATTCGACTGCACTCAGATTTAGTCTCCGGAGATGTTTCGATAGGTATCATCGATACATTGCCTTTCGATGGAATACAATTGTTATTAGGCAACGATCTTGCGGGTGAAAAAGTGACAGTCAATCCAATAGTGACAAACAAACCATGCTCAACATCAATTTCCGACGTCATTGAACAAGAAATTCCAAATTTATATCCATCGTGTGCGGTCACAAGAGCAATGGTAAAACAACAAGAATTAGAGAATAATAAAAGAGATGACCTTGATTCATCCTATGATTTGTCCGATACTTTTCTTACACAGTTATTTGATAGTGGCCCTAAAACAACACAGATTACGAAAAACGATGCGATAGACACAAAAAGCTTGTCAACATCTAATCTCATTCACGAGCAAAATAATGATCCCGAAATAGCTATTCTAATTCAACAAGCTTTCGATGAAAAAGAAATTTCAGACCAGGCAATGGGATACTTTATCAAAAACGATATTTTAATGCGGAAATGGCGACCACCTGATGTTAGTGTTGATGATGAATGGTCAGTTCGATACCAAATTGTTATCCCAAAACCTTACCGTGAAGAAGTCTTACGTTTAGCACACGAAACACCCCTTTCAGGACATCTGGGAATAAACAAAACCTATGAGAAAATCATACGACATTTTTATTGGCCTGGAGTTCGAAAAACCGTGGCAGAATTCTGTAAAACATGCCACACTTGCCAAGTAGTCGGCAAACCAAATCAAGTTATCCCAAAAGCACCGCTAAAACCAATTCCGGCTTTTGAAGAACCATTTAGCCGTATTATGATTGATTGCGTCGGACCATTACCTAAAACTAAGCGAGGTAATCAATATTTATTGACAATTATGTGTGTTTCGACACGTTTTTCTGAAGCAATACCACTTCGAAATATCAAGGCTAAAACCATTGTAGAAGCACTTACAAAGTTTTTCACTTTAGTTGGTCTTCCAAAATCCATCCAGTCTGACCAAGGTTCGAATTTCACGTCAGGGTTGTTTCAACAAATTATGCACGAACTAGGTATTAAACAATACACCTTGTCAGCTTATCATCCGGAAAGTCAAGGCGCTCTGGAAAGGTTTCACCAAACATTGAAGCAAATGATTAAGACATATTGTTTTGAAACTGAGAAAGATTGGGACGACGGCGTCCATTTCCTTTTGTTCGCGGCTCGTGAGTCAGTTCAAGAATCATTAGGGTTTAGTCCATTTGAGTTAGTTTTCGGTCACACGGTTCGGGGACCGCTCAAGCTTTTAAAGGAAAAGTTGCTTACCGACGACGGTGGTTCATTGAATATTTTACAGTATGTAACGGAATTTCGTACCAAATTAACTAAGGCTTGTGACCTAGCACGTAAGAACCTTAAAACAGCTCAAAATCGCATGAAGCGCAGTTACGACAAAAACACCGTAACTCGGAATTTTCAGAACGGAGATAAGGTTCTTGCACTTCTTCCGGTTCCTGGAAACCCCTTGCAAGCTAGGTATTTTGGGCCCTATGTTATCGAAAAGAAAGAGAATGATTTAAACTATGTAATCATAACTCCAAATAGACGTCGAAATAAGCAGCTTTGCCATGTAAATATGCTTAAAGCATATCACGAAAGAAAGAAAGTAGTACAGTCAGTAAATGTAGTGAGTTCAGATAGAGATAGGTATAGTAATGAGGATGAATCTGAACTCTCTAGTTTGTCTGAGACAACAAAATTGAGCAACTCCGACGTTTTACGAAATATGGATTCGAAGTTATCTCATCTTCAACCATCTCACTTTTCATCAATCACGGAACCCTTGACGCAGTTGCTTCGCAAGGATATGAAATTTGTTTGGACAGAACAATGTCAGAAAGCATTCGAGAAACTCAAAGCTATGCTCCAAAATGCCCCAGTTTTGTCGGCACCAGATTTCAACCGCCCCTTCAAATTAGCGGTCGACGCGAGTGATGTTGCAGCCGGTGCAGTTTTACTACAAGAAGGTCAGTTTGGAGTTGATCACCCGGTATGTTATTTCTCTCGAAAGTTCAACAAACACCAGCGGAATTATTCTACGATCGAAAAAGAATGTCTTGCACTTGTTCTCGCGCTTCAGCATTTCGAAGTTTATGTTTCTTCAACTTCTGTTCCACTCGAGGTGTTTAGCGACCATAATCCTCTAATGTTTCTCCATAAAATGAAGAACAAGAACCAACGTTTACTGCGGTGGAGTCTCGTTTTGTCAGAATACGACATGAAGATGGAACATATTAAAGGACGAGACAATTTACTCGCTGACTGTCTATCACAACCATGAACATGCAATTATACGAACACGTTATATATCTTGTACTTTCAAGAAAGTTCTGCAAACTTTCTTTCCTTTAAGGGGGAGGGTGTAACATGGCAGTGTTATACCATGTTATTTAATATATTCAATACTATATTCAATACTATATATTCAGTATACTGTTATAATTATAAGAGGAAGACCTTAGGCAACCTTCCTCGCATGAATAAGCAAATATTTAGAGAGATTAAAGAACCACGGGAAACGCCTAGTACCACAAACCACGCAAACAGGACATAGTTTTGTGGTTGATAAACACTGCTAGAACTTGCTTTGACAAACATATTGCGTAGAGGAAATTAGTCATAGTTACAGATTTCTTCCTCTAAAATTTATTATAAAAGCTGAGCACAACCTGAGAGTCGAGAGCGGAGAGTGAAGTGAGAAGAGCCATTTAGGCTAAAATACTTCATAAGCCCACAAAGGCTGAAGTATATAATTAAAAGGCTAGATAATTAAGCCTCGTCAAGTAAACTGAAGAACATTGGAATATTGTGGAATAATTATTATTAAAGAAGACGGAATACAAAGTATAAAGAATAAAGATTCAAAGTTGTGCTCAGCTCAAACAAATAGAGAGATAAGTTGATATATTAAGATTACTATATTATTATAACATTATAGAGACGCTAATTCATATTGTTGAAAGTAAATAAAATATATAAAAGGTATAAGGTTTCATGCTATTTGTGTTACGGTAGCGTTAATATAATTTGAACCCGAAGCCTAAAGGTTGAAAATATACCTAATTGGAAAATATATTTGACGCATAAATAACGCACCATAACAATATAACCTAATAAAACACTCCTGCTCGTTTATTAAACAGTACGTAACATGTCGTACACGTCGGGTGGCAGCTGAAATATTTTAATATTTGCCATAATTCGCCCATAACCTGTTGGCAAAACAACCAAAACATCTTCACCATATTTTTACAATGGCCGAGATACATTTGAATATCTCGTCTTTTAACGAATATTCAAGCCCTCTTTTCGCTAGAACAGCTTTAATAGCTCTTTCAATATTTGCCATTGAATATAATTTAATAGTTGTGCGATTTAGAGCACCTTTAAACGTATAAAAAACCATTTTGTATACTATATTCTGATGAGAATCTGTTCAACAAAATATATCGATTGTGAGCGTGTGCCTGCGCGAATTTAGTAAGCGGAACAAACATAAGCAATAAAAGCGCATGCGCCATTTATCTCATTTTAGATAAAAAAAATTCGATTTTCCCAGAGTCATGCCACTACATAACCCGCGAACAGGCCTCTTGGAACGAGATTGATCAACTTGATGATCTCGGGTTTATAGTTCCCAAATTCCCAACCAACCTCGCAACTGGCGAGGCCAAAGTTTCGTGAAATCAACTGTAAAAGGTTCCATATTGTCGATATGCAAAAAGTGGATGATATTTTCAAATATTAATATTTTTGAAATATTGATATTTATCAAAAATATCGATATACTGCATCAACCTAAGTAATGTGTTGTGTTGAAACATCTCTTGAAATTTATTTGAAACTGTTTTGAAACAATTTGAGATTGTTTGAAATTGGTTGAATTATTGTTTGGAGATTATTTTGACATAGTAATGCAATGACCCAATGTATCTGTTTAATATGATTGAAAAGTGATATTGATAATTAACTGTACTGTATTTTGTAACTAAAATCATTTTGTACACATCTGTTCTTTTTTGTTAGAAGTTTGTTAAAATAGTGGGGGGGGGGGGGACAGAAAAAAAATCCATGCATGCAAACATAAAATGTTTGAAAAAAAATACATGCAAACAAACTTGTTTAAAAAAAAATACAAACAGAACAACAATAGAACTTTCATTTTAAATGTACATCAGACAAAATTGAACTAAATCTTTGGAATATTACGAAATATAAATATATAAATATATAATATATTAATATGCAATTTCTTTCAATATTAACGGTAACTCTTATATAGTTTTATTATATACTATCAAAATATTTTCTATTGTCTTTAATAATCCTCATTCACACTGCCACTGTCCTCGATCAGTGGCGTAACTACTATGGGCTCAACCTCGTACCCAGGGCTTTTTGCTTCCGCGGTTGGATGGTCAGCGAAAAAGGCCCTGGCTTCGGCTGGTCTGTTTTGCAACCTGATTGGTCAATGATTTTGAATGTAATTATTCAATATATGTGGGAATAATTATTATTTTTGGTGGAACGAGAGTGGAGTGACAAATTTATAATTAGTTCTTGAAGGACTAAAGTATTGAGCAAATAAGATTTTTAACATTTCGCTTGATATACAGCATGAATTAGGGAAAGACAACACATCACAAAACAATTTGGTCCAAATTAAGTCTTTGTATATTTTGTATAGACGAGTATTTGCTTCGGTTCAACATATATTTCTCACATGCGTTGTTTACACATCGTTGATTTCCGAAGAAACGTACAGCGTTATAGTCAAATAAAGATTGTGATACAAATATATTTTGGTCATATTAAACACGACTTATATAAACCAAACGCTGAAGCGGTTTTGTTTTGTTTAGTTACTTATTACGTTATTTTTAAAAATCATCAATATTACGGGCTATGTTGCTGAATGAAGTGTGAACAACGAAAACCGAATAAATTCAACTAATTTTGTTGCTTTCCCTTTGATTATATACGCAGCATTGAGTTTGTTTACTCCTGTCAGTAATTACAATGTGTATAATTATTCTATTTACGTACTTATACGCATATATTATCATAATTGAACACCCCAAATACTGGAGATTTTGAGGTCATGTGACCGGCCGATGCCAGGGCCATTTTCGCTGATCAGAAGCAAAATGCCCTGGGCACGAGGTTGCTATGGGCTCGGACCGGGAGAAACCGGCGGTCCCCAACCCCAATGGGCCAAATGGGGGCCCCAGGCTGAGGCTATAGAGGAAAAACATTGGCCAGGGCCTCTAATATGTTACAATGTCGTTTTCTGACCATTAGAATTCTGTAAAATCTCTCCCCAAACTCCGGGAAACGGTATTTCAGAGAATCTAGATTCAAAAATTTTCCGGGTGAGCATGCCCTGGACCCCCTAGAAAACTTGTGCATATATGGTGCTTGACTTGTGCCTTTGGCACTTTTACTAGGGGGGCCTTCGAAAGTTTTGAACCGGGGGGGGCCTGAAATCGCAGTGCCACTATCTTCTTGATCTACAACCAAACTACAACTTTTACTGGCACTATCTTCTTGATCTACAACTAAACTACCATTTTTCCCTTCATCTACAATCAAACTGACACTATCTTCTTGATCTACAAACAAACTACCATTTTCCCCTTCATCTAACAATCAAACTGACACTATCTTCTTGATCTACAACCAAACTACCACTTTTCCCTTCATCTAACAATCAAACTGATATTATCTTCTTGATCTACAACCAAACTACCACTTTTCCCTTCATCTACAATCAAACTGACACTATCTTCTTGATCTACAGTCAAACTACCACTATCCCCTTCATCTATCAAACTGACACTATCTTCCTGATCTATAAATATAATCTCAATGGCAATATCTTCTACATTTTCTTTTCCTCTACTTAATCTTGCTCTTTTCTTTTATCTTGTTTTGTTTCTTCTTCCTTTTGCTCATTTTTTCTGTCATACTTATATCATTAAATGATATCTGGTTTAGCCTAAAATATCCTTAAAGATATTATTTTGCAGTGTGCATTAAAGGGATATTTTTTGTCAAGAGAACAGTTTCGTTAACATTTGTATAGTTGTATTGGAAAAAAAAATTGCATGCGAGAAGATATATTTTAAAAAAACGTGCATACACAGCTGACAACCTGGAAAAATATGCAAACATAAAAAATTTACCCCCGCCCCCTCATCACTTTTCTAATGGTCCGTCCCTTAGTATAATAAGATTTGGTTAGAATAGTAGTACTTTGATCTTTGTCTTTGTATAATTAATTTTGTCATTGTAAATTTTATATGTATTTTGAAATTCGATATTTCTACAAGCATGCATGGGCGGATCTAGCCTCATCTGCAAGGAGGGGTGCATGTTTTACATTATATTGACGTGTTTATATCGGCTTTTTCCGTGTATGCGTGACTGGACAGTTGCTGTAGCACAGTACAGTTAATCTGCTTGTTAAAGTAAACACATTTGCATCACAAGCCAGTTTCGTCATCCTCTAGCGGGTGCCGGCTTTGTGTTTTCATATCTTCGGGTCAGTGCATGCTATGAAGACAGAAATACCACCATTCGATTCAGAAATAAAAGATTCAACTAATTCCCCCTATAGTTACAGTCATTATCAACATTGTAGCGATTTATGGGCCTTTGAAAGTCAAACACGATAATATTGTATCAGATTACGCAATTGTCTGAACAAAAATATAGACTAGCCATACCTTTCGCCGAAAATAACTTCGGCCCCTTCAAACATATCGTCTTTGTAATAGTCTTGCTCGAATCCCCATTAAATAGTGTTTTTTTAGTGTTATTTGCAACCCTGAATCTATAAATCTGTATCTTTTATCAATATATTTCATTTCTTGTCCGACTGTGAGCTCGAAGTGAATTAATCCCAACCGGAAATACGACTGAAAACCGTCAAAACAATGCGACGTTCAACCTCGTTCCCAGGCTCTTTGCTCTTGGGAAGCAAAGACCCTGGTCGGAGCTGGTCACGTGATCCATTGAAAATTGATAGCCCAAGAGGGGGGTGGAAAAGTCTCATATTACATGTTTCCACTTCCGCACTTCGATTGCAAGGAGTGGCCGTTCTGTACAATCATTAATTCATGATATTCATCTTCAAGAATCATATATACCTCAAACTACTTGCTAAATTGGTTTCTGTTTGCTTTTAAATTATACAAACATGCTAAAATGCAGATTCTTATGGCAACAGAAAATTCAGGAAATCAAGCAACGAGAACATATCCGCTGTACGCTTTGAAATATTTTTATTTTCTCGGGGTTCGCCGGTTCGGGCGTAGTTTTATTTCACGCATACGTTTCTGTTGTGGCTCTGATATTTATAATATGCTTATAATATGCCAATGAATTGTTCTGATATGGACATGGTATAAATTTTGTTAATTAAACAGATGTCTCGAAAGCGACTGTTTATAGGTCGTAGGATTAGCGCCTTGCCGGTCTTAAACGTGACACATTTGGACACAAGCCAAATACACATTGTGAATGTCCATTCTATTGATTCTAAAACTGTTTATAGACATATTGCTCTAGATTTTTTTTAAATGGCTATCATCGTTTATATTAAACACCAGGAAGACAAAATATAACGTACAAAATTGTTTGAAATCGACAGTGCACAGCTGACATACGACAATTCATAACTGCAAGAATTTCCTTTTTTGTCTGCATGAGTACCTGTTTGTTGAAGCCAAAATATTGCACAGCATCTCCTATAAATTCTATCGCCATTTACCCTCTCCCCTTAAATGCAAAGGAATGACAGCCGAAAAGGTTTAGCAAAGTATTTTTTTATTATATCTGTTATAAAGTGTCCTACGTTTTATCAGGGACATACATAATTCATAAACTGTATATGCACACGAAGTCTCGCTTATATTAATGAGTTTTACTGTAGCAAACCTTTTAAAGTTTCCATTGATAGATAGGTTGTTTGCCTCCAGTATTGTTTGGTAAAACAGACTAAACTTCTAAAATGTCGATTCCAGTATACGATAAAGATTAAAGTTGATTTAAATATTGATAACTCACAGCGGCATTAATCCGAGCA